CTTCTTAAGTTTACATTTTTATTACTTGCAATAAAAGCATCTATCTTGCAGTTGACACAATACCTCTCATAAATGTTGCTCATGCTTTTTACGGATTTTACTATACATGAGGATATCATCAATGAAGACAACTACATACTTGTCTAAAAGGTCTCAAAATAATCTATTCATGTAACCTATAAAAGAAGTTGGAACATTGGTGAGACCAAAGTGTAAAACTATTCATTCAAAATGTCTATAGTGCATATAAAATATTAACTTTTTTACATCCTCTCTTACAATAGGTGTTTGCCAATATCTACTCTGAAGATTCAATTTATTAAAGATGGTCGTACCTCAAAATTGGTTAAGAAGATTATCCATGTGTTAAAGTGGATATATATTTTTAACAGTTTGCTTATTGAGACCTCGATAGTTAATACAAAGGCAAAGTCCACCATCTTTTTTAGGTGTAAAGAATATAGGTGCTCTCCATGGTAATGTGCTTTCTCAAATGAGGTCTTTTTCCAAAAGTTTGTCCAATATCTTTCGTAGCTCTTCAAATTCCTTTGGTCCTAGGTAATAAATTTTTCAACTTGTTGATTTGGCTCCATGTAATAGTTCTATTTGAAAGAGGGCACCTCAATCAAGAGATACGTCACTAGATAGATTGATTGGAAGAACATCTTGATATTTTTGTATGAATTGCTCCGCCCATTCTACCCCTTTAGCTGCCTTTCCCACCATTGACATAAGATTTGGAACCACCATATATACTGGTTACTCATGTTATAGTTTCTTCTTCATAAAAATCGTCCCTATAAGTAAGTCTTTTATTGCAGATTATCTTTCATATGCACTTGATGTAGAGGTGCAAAGATTCACCTTGAGTCCTCCATCTTTAAAAGAGATTATCATTGCTACCTAATCAACTTGCTTATTTTCTATCTCCAGCCATGGCGTACTAAGGATAACATCATACTTTAGCTTTTGTTACCTTGAATCTCTCTCTTAAGACATAGGTGTCCATCAATCTCAAGGTTTCTTCTTCAGACATCTCACTCAATACGATCTCTCAATCATCTACTAGGTATACAATTCCTCCTTTGATTTCTTTGATTATAATTCCAAATCGATCGCCAATTTTAATTGAAATATAATTTTCTACAGAGCGGCAATCTACAAGCTCTGGATCGAAGAGCTAGCTTCAAGCTTTTTTTCAAGGTTACTAGTTCGGTTTCATTAGAGGTTTTTTTTTGAAGATCGGGGAGAGGAGCTTCATGCTTCGGGCGGAGAAAGAAGACAGAGAATTGGGTTTTTTTTTCATAGGGTTTTGGGAAGACTGAGGCAATCGTTGCTGAAGTCAGTGTTGTAATGGTGAATCGGGATTTTTAATGAAGTGGGTTTGATTACTCTTGACTGTTTTGTGAAATCGAGTTACGTCTGTGATTGAAGAATTAAAAGGGTGTCTATAGGATTGAGTATGCGGAGTACATGAAATTTATTAGATTAATCTAACAAGACATTCAGTGGATACAAGATCGTAAGTACAAAGCGGTATCGAAGATTAGCAGATTGGGTTGTTCGGGGTTCTCTGTAACGTCTAGAGACCTATCGGCTGGGACAAAAAGGACTTTGACAAGCAGTTGAAGGACATCCATATAGATTTACGGTGTATTCTTGCAATCGTTTATATTCCAACAGTCAAAAATTGATAGACTGCTTGACTATTGGCGAATCTCTATACTACCTTCTACAGCCAGACACCCGGCGCGTTCTCAAGTAGGAAAGCACGTAATACGACAGCGGCATAGGACTTTGCACTATAGGTTGTATTCTACAATTTTTGAAATCTCTAGCATTGACCTTCTCTACAATCCAAATTACCTCTTTGAATGTTTGTGGATCCCTTAGCTCCACCTCTTCCTAGACTCCAAGTTTCAAATCTCATAGGAATTGATCCATCATCTTTGCCTTTGAAACATTGTTAATTTGGAGATAAAAGAACTTGAATTGAGAGACATAATCTTACACCAATCTAGCTTATGTAAGATTTACCAAGTGATCGCGTGCTATCTTTTTCACATTGATGGGCCAAAATTGATTCCTAAACTCGATCTCAAATTCATCCCAGTCACAAAATCCACCTTGAGCTCCATAACTTTGAACTTGATGTCGCCACCAAATGGCTGCCGCATCTTTCAAATAATTGGCTACATACATAATTTCTTTAGTAGTATTTGCCCCAGATAGTTTGAAGTATTGTTGCATATTGAAGAGCCATTCACATACATCTTCTTGTTTTAAAGTTTCAAAGTATGTACTAGGCTTATTCAATTTCAACCTAGTAGATGTCGACTTTTTTGTCCTCGAGGCTTCTATTTGCCTTTGCAAAGTACCTATTTGGCCTAAGAGGCGTTGTATTTGAGCCTCCATCTGGGATTGCTCTACCATATCTTCCATACTATAATTTCTACGCCAGACTCCACTATTGTAATGTCTTCTCACCTCCCGATTGATTTTTTAAGAGTAGCTTGTAATAGCCTCAACATAGTACCTAATATAACTACAAGAACTAACCTTAGACTAAATGGTGACTATTAGCATACTACCAAAAATAAACACTTTAAAACTTGATCTGATACTAATGAAATATGACTAGACTATCTCAAAAATCTAAGATCCTTCCAATCCACAACAACATAAGGCCTCTTTACAAAATAGGACAAAATAGACGAGAATATAATTGAACAAAACTAAATAGAATAGGACATGAAAGACAAAACTGAGCAAACAGAAACATAACAGAATAGATTTGAAAAGAAAGATGCAAAACCAAACTGTCGTAAGAGAAAGGATCCGAAGCCATATTTAACCAGATGCCCCAAAAGGCCTTAGCCAGTCGTATTTATACCTTGTCCTATCACCCTAGACTTTCTAGAATATTCTTAGGTAGTAGGCCCTATCTAAATAACCACCTTAAACTCTTTTTTTAAAAGGTTCTATGATAGGTTCTACCTAGATAATTGTCCTAAGCTTTCTTCTAGAAGGTTGTATAATAGGCCCTACTTAAATAACCACCCTAAATCCTTTCTTGAATGTTCTATGATGGATCCTATCTAGTCTACTAATCTAATGTCAATTCTAGAAACTTCCATGGTTCTAAATATCTATATAATTATCTTATCTATACCCTGTTATACATAGACTTTGGTAGATGTAATTGATAAGCGACTTAACTGATTTGTTCATAAATAAGAAATGGTTCACATCTACCATAATCCAACTTATCACAAGGGCGACTAGCCTTAATATTACAATGAAGTAATCATACCTTTTTGCCAATATAAGATTGAGGTTGTTTCTTACAATAGGCATCTATACTAATCTTTTATTATTCTTGAGCTTCTTTTAATTGTACCTTTGTTATTACACGTAGCTTTAATAAATAATTTTTCAAATCTTTTGTTGCAAGATTATCAATTTTTGAGAAGTCAAAAGTATCAAATTATAGATGATAGCCATAATTAGTAAAAAAAATGTATGTTAAATAGAAAAATATATTATGTTGTTATAAATAAAACCATGTCAATGGCAAAATAATTATCTAATCATCTTGATGGTAGTTAATAATATATCTCAAATATTATTCCAAAACTCGATTTATTTGTTTTGTTTGTCTATCAATTTAAAAATAAAAAGCTAAAGTTAATTTTATATCCACCTTCAAAATCTTAAAAAGAATTCTTCAAAACCTCAATACAAATTAGATTCATCTATCTAATATAATATCTTATGGCAATCCATAATAGCAATAAATATTATTAAGAAAAAGTTTAATTTTTTTTTCACTTGCAATAGATTTTGATCTACAAAGAGATATTATGTTAATTTGAAAATATCATCTATCTAAATCTATTATTAAATAAATGATTTTAGATACAAAAATTCATTTGATTTAGTTAAGATTCATTGTGCCAAGTTATTGGTCTATGCAAATAATTTTTTAGTTATTGCAATATATATATATATATATATATATATACTTATACTTTTTTTTCACTTTGAGTTTATTTTTTTCAAACTTATGTGCTTAGCTTCCTAAAACATAATCAATTTGATTAAAGTACATTCTAACTTCTCCCAATTTTAACCAAGAATTGGTAGAGTTTGTTGAACATGATTGAATGCTTGATATGCCCTGATTTCAACTTAATTTGAAATCCATTGTAAGATTTTAAGTTGCACTGCAGTTTGCCTTAGTACAAGTTTTAATTTGAATGACAAACATTCATTCTAATGAGCACGGTGGTGAAACCTTGATTCCTATATATTTTTCATTTTTTATTTTGGTTTTATGGAATGACAATGTAGGTGGATTAAGCCATTGGATTGGATCTTGGGTTGATTTAAGGCGGTTGTACATTTTCGGTGGAATAGAAATTTGATTGAATTCCTTTGATGATGTTGCCAGTACGAGCTGAATGCATTGTTTTGTAAACTAAAGATGGTGAGAATTGAGATCTACATGTCCACACAAGAACTTCCAGAGTTAGGAGAATGCATGAAATATGAGTAGAAATCAGAGAAAATCGAAGGAAGGAGAAAGGCAAGTTTATCGGAACTGTGCTTAAATTAGGAGTTAGACAGAATACACAAATAGCGGTTGAAGGAAAATGAGGATGAGAGTCCTCGTGGTAAGAGCTATGACAGGAATGGAGTTATTTTTCTTGCAAGTTGTAGCAATTTTGTCGCAGGCAGTGTGGCAAAAGCATCGCAAACGTATCCATGGCATTTTTACTGAGCGATTGTGCGGCAACATAGAATTTGCGAGAGCAGCTGTGGGTGCAACATTCAACTTGGCTGTAGCAAAAGCATCTGTGGTGATTCTTGAGAGTTACAGTGCTTCAATGGTCAAGTCAGTTGCATGTTGTTAAATTACATTGAATGCATATCAAGGAAAGTGTTGGAGAATTCAACCTCAAAAAATGCTCTAGAACTGCTTCAAAAAACACAAGATATCATACAAAAAAGTGACCAGTGACCAATGTTATACGTCATCAAGCATTTGATCAAATATTCTCATCACGACAAGGTCAGCTTGAAGCTTCAAATCTTCGTGGGTACTCTGTCATATGTCATTAGGCTACCAGTTCTCCGGCATTCATTGTTGCAAAGTATTTCACCTTCACATCACCACAGCAAAGAAGCAGCCTTCATTCACAGGACGCGCCGGAATGCTATCGCTACCCTTTCTTCTACCGGCAGGCTCGCAGTCCCCGAAAGACGCGAGTTCTCTTACATGTTTTACACAAACGTAGCGCAGGAGTTGAGCATTCTGAAATGCAAGCAACATCCACACTGCTATTTACACAGGAATCAGGCTGGATGAATCAGCGATACAATGTCGCAATTCAAGCCCATCGGACTGACAGCCTCGGCAGGTCGCAAAGTGTCGGCATCCACCATTCGCTGGCAATGAAGGTTCCAGTGACGATGAGCACTGTGCGTGCCTCAAGCATTGACGACGGCGCCGCCGTTAGGGTGGAGCACTTGGCCTGTGTAATAGGAGGAATCCTCAGATGCCAGGAAGACATACGCAGTGCCGCATTCGAAGGGCTGGCCAGCGCGTGCCATGGGCACTGTGCTGGTGCCCCACTTGGCGCCTTCGGTCTGCTCAGCGGGGAAGGAAGCGGGGATGAAGGGGGTCCAGATCGGGCCTGGCGCTACTCCATTGACGCGAATCCCCCTCTTGACGAGTTGCAGAGCGAGTCCTCTTGTGAATGCCAGTATCGCGCCCTTTGTCGCGGAGTAGTCGAGGAGCATCGGAGCGCCTTGGTAGGCTGTGATTGAGGTCGTGTTGATGATGCAGGCTCCCTCCTGCAGATGGGATCGATCATCGAGAAGCATCAGATACCGTAGTGGAGATGTAGAGAGCTTCAGTGCATTTTGGAAGATGATACTTGGGAGTTCCGAGGTTGTGGAGAGTTGGATTTTGAAGAAGCTATTACCTTCATATGCTTGACGGCATGACGGGTCATGTAAAACATCGAGAAGATGTTGCTTCGGAAGGTGCGCTCTAGCTGCTCGGGTTCGATCTCCTCAATGCTCTCCTTGTAAAACTGCTCGGAGGCATTATTGACGAGCACATCGATGCGGCCGAACTCCTTCACTACCGCGTCGATCGTTAGCTTGCAGTTATCATCATGTCCCAAATCTGTCCTAATGACTCTGGCTTTGCACTTCCCGAGCGAAACCCTCTCGATATCTTTCACAGTGTGCTCGCCGTCGATATCCTCTTCAGGAGCCTTATACACAATCACGACCGCCTCTGCTCCCTCGGCAGCGAACAGGACGCTTACAGACCGGCCGATTCCCGAGTCTCCACCTGTGACGATTGCCACTTTGCCTTCCAACTTTCCTGAAAGCGATTTTAAAAACAGGTAAGTGAATCGGAAGTTTTAAATCCATTGAAACTAACGCGTTCTTTTAAGAATGCTGCTACAAATCAATCCCACAGCAAGAGGCATCATCGTGGATTTGAACACCCATCTTTCCATGTTCAGGTACACTTTCCATTAGGACGTGGTAAGAGCATTTGGAACTCCCTTCCTTTCCAATCTCAGTACACAATGAGGAGCTCATCGAAATAATAAAATTTGGATAGGATGTGTACAGAGAATTAATATGGTAGGATGTGAACAATTTAACACGACAATCACCAAAGTTTTCATAAGTTCCAGCTCTTTATCTACAAGAGGTAGGACAAGAAAGAGGTGAGCCCGAAACAAACTGAAGACATTCCTATGCATCCTAATAGATCGCAATGACATTCTTTGTGCACTCAATCGCCCAGTGTTATTGAGGATCCCCAGGAATAAAGATGAATTCAGTGGAAGTATCTGAGCAGAATCCAACACGGACCTGCGGGAACATATTTGTCCGAGTAGTACTGAGGTTTAGGTCCTTGAATCTCCGCCTCTACTCCTGGGTGGTGCTTCTGGGTCTGGGCAGGGATGTTCGGCGACGGGTCTTCAACCATCCGACTCATCTTGTCTGGCTCAAATCTGCGATCATCAACACCAACATAAATTAACCACAATCACCACAATGCCGACCCTCATCCCACACGACCATCACAAAACCCAAACATCAGCGTTACCAAACTGTCAACAATCTGAACGCACTCACAATAATTCTTGAAGCAAAAAATTGAACCGCAAGACTATGCTCTAATGTGCTATGAAAAACTCTGATCGAGACTTGATTTCTATCTCCGAGGATTTGGAGCTGATTTTTAAACAGAGATGCTTGAGCGTTGTCGCCACGGAGCATCATGCAGCAGAAGTGGTCTGTCACAACAAGAGTTAAGGTTTGAGCTAAGGGTCGCATGCAATCGAACTCATGCAAGTGCTACAAGTGGCGATGCAAAGGTCCTTGCCACTTGTTCAATTTTTGACTTGGCTTTCTGACTTTATTTCGTGGATTGTTTTGTGCCAATTTCATCACCAGAATCTCAAAAATCTTGCTTGTCATAATTGGGTTTTTGAAGAAAATATGTGGGTGTATACTTCTCTTTCGATTGCATGCAACCCTTAGCTCAAACAGAACTCAAACAGAACATTTAACAAGAGAAACAAACAAGAATCAGAGTCAGCAGGGGGGATGACTTTGTGATCATGCGCATCTTGCTAAATGCTGTGGATGCATGGAATATATGTCACTATTGAAACAACAGAATGAATGAAATTCAAACTAAAGGATTCCTGAACACAACGCAAACATCATGTTGAACAGGATTGCTATGAAACTCTAATACAGGTCACTCACAGCCATAGAGATTTAGCGCAGAACTTGCAACGTCATGACCTTATAATACTTTCCATCATGAGCCATGCTATGTAGCAGTCTCCATGTCAAGGTGCACAAATGTTTTTGAAAAGCTCATTGGCATCAGCTTATGGAGGTTTCCAAAGCTTTCTGAAACGGCTGCAGCACAGGCAAATTCGGACTCTGCACCCACGATTCCACAAAATAATTCAATCGCTCTGTCGATCTGCATGAAAATGGTCTCTACTTATGTTATACTCATCAAGTTTAGAAAAACTTAGACACGTTCTCCTGAAACTATGCCTTGCAAGGAAAATTATAATTTTCCAGATATGCTGGCCCTCAACCAAAATCAAAAATCATCGCATGGGAGTCGACCATTAGTTTTGAAAACTGAGTTCATTGTTTGCTTTTTTCACGCAGCGTTTGTTTCTGGCGACAAGGGTTAAGCGAAGATCTTCAACAAATTTGTCGAGGGGCAAGGACTAGCTATGAGGCTGTCTTTACTGACAGTAGAAACCTGCTGCTAAGTTCTAAAAAACAAGATAAAATGAGAAATGGAACCCAAACCTGTCCGTACACGAATCACAACTGTCCGCCAGAACACTTCCGGTGCAGGATGCAGATCCATAACATAATCGAATGCTGCTAGAAACTGGCTGAACAGTAACAAGATTTTCCGTAAACACTTAATCTATTTGATACAGCTTCCTAAGTAACAGATCGAGCCAGCATAACACCAATAGAGAGTCGGAGTGTAGGCTTTTCAGTTTTTGGAATCCAACTCTGCTGAAACTCATTTCTGACCTCCAGAATTATGAGAACTTCCAGTAGTTTGGTCTCTTTCTTCATGGCGGAAAGCTGATCAATATTAAAGAGCTAGATTCTAAAACACCAAATTTCTCAACCAAGTGCCATTTACAACTTAAATCATCAGCTATGTGATACATCGCCTTCATCAAAGACCAGTATTCAGAACCGCCGATTCAGACGAAGGGTTGGCCAAGAAGGTTAGAACTCCAACGCTTCTAAATTCAGAGTAGGGTGTACATTGCAAGCAGAGAGGGAATGTTGAGAATCCCGCAAACATCATTGAGTCCCAACACCATTTAATTAATTGCAGATACCTTGCTTCTGGCTCGGATGCCTCGGAAGTATGCTGTTGTCATTCCATAATGGTCCATACTTGAAGCTCAATATCTAGACTTCCTCGCACAGAAAGAGAAACACAATTTAGCATGAAAACATCTCTTTGAACAAGAAAGAAAAAATAAATTAGTTTATCGGACTGTGCTCTTAAAAGATAACCCACAGGACTATCGTCGCTGTGGACATGGGAGTCATCACCTAGCTGTAATGAAGATCACCCAAAGATCTAGAAAACTCCCACCAAGGGTTGATCATCAAAAACGGCCGACAGAAGAAAAAAAGTTAAAACTGCAAAGAACCATAGTCAAGCCGTCTTCGATGACATCAGGCGACCGAGCACCACAACTGCGTGTAGTACTCTCTCGCAAAGACTGGAGCTCCCATGACTCAGGTTCCACGCTGTAGGCTAAAGCGCCATGATTCAGAATAAGACACGGCCAATTCGTCTGGACCTCATATAAAGCTTACTGAGCATCATGAATGATATACATTTGCCATGACCTGCAAGAAACACTGGACATGAAGTACACCAACCTCTCTTTGCAAAGAAAAAATCCAGCAAAAACTGAAATTGGGTGCAAAAACAATTCTGGTACAGAGACTGGTTTGTCGCTGGAAACAGAGGGGTTGAGCCTCAGCATTCATTACATAGGAGTAGAGAAAAACTAAAATCTCAAGCGACGTCAAAGCCGCGGCACCTGACTTAGTCTAGTCTAAAATGGCGGTGATCTACTGTACGCATGTAGATAGGACAAAAAAAAAATTGAAAACTTACATTCTAAACCTTCTGGTCCAAAAAAGAAAAGCGTTGATCGGACCGCCACGGCGTTTGAAACTCTCCTGCTCTAGTTTTTCTACCTATGCCGTGGCACAAAGCCAAAAGTAAGCGGGGTTCATTCCCCGCAAGTCTTAAGACACCGAACAACCTCCCACATGTTGTGAGGCGTTCAAGCTCACTAATATGCACAGTTTTTCAGGTGCTGCTGAAGCCCTAACCCGGCGTAGAATCACAATCTTAAATCTCAAACCTTAGGGTGTATTCACAGGGTATACTTTACAAACGTGTAGCTGTCGGGCTACACTGCGGAGTTAGGGCCGCAGTCAGAAGACGCGCGGTTGTGGCAAAAGTGTTGATGATCAGTGAAAGAAGAAAAAATATTAAATAATCTTAGCGAGAGGTACAACTCATTGGTATCTCAAGATATCGGAGGCTTGCAGGCCTACCCAGGATTGTGACGCATCCTCGTACCCATGAGAGAAGCAATTCCTTGGCGGGCACCACTCCTCGTCTGTGGTGCTACTCGCATTCGGGGAAAGGTTCGTATGTGTCGAGCACTGGTTTTCATCCCATGATGTGTGGGGTACAAGCCTATCGTTCATCACTGGATGGCTTTGCATCAACGCCGCTTCCCAAAAGCCAGGTTTCAAATTTTGCGGCCACCCGCTAGCGTTCATTTGGTTGGCTGGAGCCGCCCGTTCTTCGTACCCGCTGAGGTTTTGCAACTGTGAATTCATCGGAGGCTTAGATTGACTTTCCTCCCAAGACCTCTGCGCTTGCGAGATGCCATTGAGGGATGGCAATTGCTGTGCTGGGTTGGACCACATACAAGCCTTCGCCATCACTGAAGCAAGCGCATCTGATTGGCTAGGCACATGCATTTCCGGTAGGAAAAACCCGCTGTTCATCATCATTGGAGAGAAACTGCTCAGCATGGCAGGACTAACCTGTGGAATCTGAGGAACTTGAGGTACCTCGTACAGGGATTGAAGGTCGGGGACCTCTTGCAGCCCTGAGAGAGGCTTCTGCAACGGAGGATACGTCCCCAGGCTTTGTTCCAAGGCTAAGTGCGAAGATGGAAGTTGCAAGCCAGCGGGGCCGAATGCTGACAACTGGTCGCCAAATCCCAGCATCCCTCCACTAGGGGGGAGCATCGAGAGCTGTTGCATGCAGGCACTTGCACTCAGCAAATCTCCTCCTGAGCCTGAGAGAGTCCTGATTGGGCTCGTTTGCGGTGTTCCACTTCGAAGGTAAGGATCAGTGCGGCTGCGGGTCCGAGTCTTCTTACGAGATCCTCCTCCAACTGGAACATTTCGCAGCGTACCCCCGACGGTCCAGTACCGTTGGCAATTTCGACAGAAATGCCGAGGTTGGTTGACACTGTAGTTGTTGTAGTAGCAGAACTTGGTGTTCATGGATTGACACCGGGGACATGGGATCACCTTCACGAGCTTGTCCCGGATGCAGCCACCATTCCCCCTAGTACCCACGGGCGAATCGCCTTCCCCTGATGGCGACCTGGAGTCGTTCAGTCCAGCTTGAAGCTCATCGTTCGAGTCATCCTCAAAATCTCTCAACACTTTCTGACGATTCATTGGTAGATACATGGTCGCCAACTAACACCCGAAACACACAAGAAAAAAAATCTTCTCTTATCACCCAAATCTCTTTGTTGTGCTTAGCCCCTTCACAGACCACGCACATAAAATCTGCTTCTTCTTCTTCTGCTTCCTTAACTGCGCTGCTGCCACTCTTGATCCTTGCGCACTAGCCCCCCAAACCTGTCAATTCCAAGAATCTTCACGTGATTCACACAGACACACACACACACCAACCAATCCCGCTACCTCAGCAACAACTCCACGTTTAACAGTTGAGGAATACGTTTCAATCGCCGAATGCGCGACCTTCTCAGTTGAACTACACCTTCTGACACAGCTCTCCAAACACTCCACCCACGGCAATCTCTCTTCTACTGAGAAAGCTCTACAACCTTTTCTATGCGTCTGAACAGCCGTGGGGAGGACGACTTGAATGTAGGATGGGGAAGGTGAGGGATAGGACGGTTGCAGAGGTCGACGAACGAAGGTTTAAGTGTCTGCTGGTCCCTGCGAGAATTCGTGAGAGACAGTCGCACATATACACTTCGCACTCCGCAACTATCTTTTGAACACTAAGGAGCATGTATCGACGCAAGCTGCCACAACGTGATCTCTTTTCGTTAAGTCTGAAGTGCCGGACTTGGTGAGTTTATCTATCATCCCCGCTGGCTAAACAAAGCCCACGATCCGCTTGCTCTTCCAATCTCTGAGATTGTCGTCCAAATAAAATTTTAAAAAATAACCACCATGAATTCTCTCCCCGTCTTCGGCACTAGAGGACCAACCACGGCGCTCGCCCAAATCGAGCACATGGGGAAAAACGAAAATCAACTGCTGGCGCATCGTGGGTCCCGCTACTGCTCCGTCCATACCCACGCATGCATTGCTGCCATACTACATCCGCCGCATGTCGAAACACCGGCTCATCCATCCACGCATCCTCCCGTCCTTCACCCCAAATATCTCTCCAGCCTGCCTTATATATCACCTTCACTGGTCATTATTTCCCCGCTAATCCACCACCGCTTCCAGCACTTCAATCTGAAGTTACCTCGTTTGCACCGATAAACTGACCCTTGAGCCCTAAATTCACTCGAAAACTTCCGACCATTTCCAACCAGTGTCTTGGGGTTTTGCTAATTGGGCCTCTACCCGGAGCAACAGGATACGCAGGCTACGTGGATGCATCTACGCCGTGTTATCAACATCCTAAGAATACTCCATCCACCAAACTCGAAGGTGCTGCCTAACTGTAAACTATTGAGAGCTCGCAGCCGGCGGGGAAGGGGCACAGACACCCCTCGTCTGACACTATCGACACAGAAAACACCACATCAGAGGGTCGTGGCCCAATCATTTTCCTCCATCCGTACAGCACCGAATAAATATATATATATATATATATATATATATATGAATGTTATCCTAGCATGGAATCTCGTTACCAAATCCTTCCGTTCCGATGGAGCCGATTGAACTTCAACGAAGTCAGTTAGACTGCACATTTTCCTCATTCTTTGGGGGGGGGGGGGGGGTCACCATTCTGATGCCTTCGCAACCCGAGTTTTGTGTTCTGCGCCGCTCCTGGCCTCCACCTCAGTTGTGCAACTTGCATCTCACATGATTTCCTCAACCAAATTATGCAACTATGGAGAGATTTATCCGAGAACAAATTGGAGATATGCGGATTTCTTCACCGAGTCCTACTTCCCCAACGCTCTGACCGTTGCCGTGAGGAGCAGAATGGCAGAGCCTTGGTAGAGCCAGAGCTTTCAGCAGTGATATGCCAGAGTGCTGCCATGAACAGCCGAAAGTAAAAATCAAAATATGAAATATAGCTTCTCCCCCCAACCTCTCGGTCAACGACGTTCTAATTCCCCTTTCATCTCGCTCGCGGCGTCATTCCCAAAGCATCCAGAATGTTTCTGGCTTCTACCAAAAACACAAAAGCTTCAGTTACTGGTGGCGAAAGTGGGTTTCATAGGAGTGTGCAAACCAAATTCTCCTATCAAAAGCCTTCACATGATTCGGGTAATGAAGCGAAAATTCTCCTCATGTGTGTCGGGGCTTTTCGGTTATCCGCAGAGCAAAAGTTTCAAAAGCTGCTGAGACAGCTCAAAGCATATTTTTGTTCCCTCCGAAGCTCATGCTTACAAGGTATTCTGTTTGCATTCTCAAGGCGTTTCACTACCTATCAAAATAAGGAAATCTCAGCAAAAACAAAAAAAAAAAACAAAACAAAAACAAAACAAAACAAAACAAATTCTAACTTACCAACCCATCCTCTACTCTTTCCCATTTTCCAACTGGATGACATCATATAATTATTTCATTTTCCATGTAGCTTGGTCTTTGACCAATACAGCTCTTTGTGGATTACGACTGCTCAATAGTAAGGGAACTTTGATTGGGTCTCTGCATTGGGCTCAACCAGTCACCATCCACCATCCATTGCCTCAGCTTGCAAACAAGGAAGGCTCCAGGCAGTGCTCCAAATAAGGGGTAGAAGCCAGGCTGAACTGGGTGAAAAAAAAAAAAAAAAAAAAAAAAAAAATCAAAATCAACAACAACAACAACACCAACAACATAGAAAGAAAGAAAGAAAGAAAGAAAGAATAAAAAATTAAAGCTTCCTCCAACATGACACATGCCCTACATCCACAAGCTTGAAGACAAAATAATGGTGAATCTGGTCTCTGTGAAGGAATGTAAAGGATGAGTGAAGGGGCCTGCGCTTGTGGGCCAGTTTAAGTTCAAAAAATTAATAATATTTAGAAAGGCCCCCACTTATTTATTTTCACTAAGTTGCTGAAGATGATGCCATTTTAGCACTTTCTCAGTGTGTGTTTTCTGGTGCATGGCTTGCAATGAGTGATAGGGCATGAAGCAGAGAAAAGGAAGAAGGGTGGAAGTGTTTATGTGTGGGGGAAGGGCTTTTTTGACAGTGGGTTTCAGGGTATGGAGGGCTTTGGCAGAGGAATAGTATGGCACCACTATCTCTCTCTCAGTGAACAAGGATCCAGGTTTTAGGGTTTTACCTTGTGCAGTATCTAGAGGTGATTAGCTGACTACAAACATTGTCCATGGTGCATGACAGAATGAATACTGACAGCTCAATATCAGTCCCACAAAATTTTAAAAATTCACACCAGTGAAAGACAATATGAAGACACAGTCGGGAAAAAGTCTCATTTAGGGAAGCTGCGGTGATTTTCACAATGAGGGCATTTTGTACTTGTGTGATACTGATTGAAAACAAGGGTTCCACATTGATTGTTGTTCTCAAACAAGTTCACCAAATCAGGGGGGGAGAAATCATTGGGGCATACTGTCTTTTGGAGCATGTTGTTGGCTGTGATCATCATCTTTTACAATGATGTGAGTATGTGTAATAAGAAAAATAAAATCAAAACAAAACGAAACAAAACAAAACAAACAAAAAAAAAGGGAGAAGAATATGAAAGACAACTTAGACCTCCTTCTATTTTGCACATGTGTTTTTCATTTGAGACACCTATACATCACTAATTTAAGCTACAGAAAATGAATGTTGGAAGTTGCTTAACATCAAAAGTAAAATGAAGAGAGATATAGAATGCTTGTTCTATTGAAAATTTTATAAGAATAATAATAAAACCTATAACATATTGGATCTAGGGACACCTTTAGACAACTACTTTCATTTCTGCCTCCAAGATTAGGCTCTCAAGTGCACATTGGGTGTGTGGACTTGGGCTACTGGAGCCCTGTTTGTGGCTCTGCTTGCAGCTTCATGTTTTTGGTGGCCCGACTCCAGGGTAGTGGCA